CGTATATCTAAAAACTGTCAAAATAGCCTAACTGTGTTATAACGAATAGAAAATGTATAAGATAGCTTAAAACACACAACGAGCATTGTTTTATGCAAAGATAATCTTATCTAATGATTCTGTATGAAACAAATGATAATCTGAACATATTTCTTTAAAAAATGAGTTTTCCATGTTCCTCAACCGAACAAAAAAATGAGAAAAATAAACATGAATTCGGAGAAAAATTAGAGATATTGAAAAAAGTGTTTCATAGGATTTTCTAATTTTTTTATATGTTGTGTAAAATTTAATGACAAATTCAAAAAGAAAAAGAAAAATATATGTTGGCGTGTTGGATTTTTTGAAAAATGGCAATTTCCATGGTAACCGTATATCTCAAAATTGTCAAAATAGCCAAACTGTGTTATAATAATGTATAAAATAGCTTATTACACTCACAATAAACATAATTTTATACAAAGCTTGCTTTATCTTAGGGTTCTGTATAAAACAAACGATAATTGGAACATATTTCTTTAAAAAATAAGTTTTCATGCTTTTTAACTAAACAAAAAATTGAGAAAAATAAACAAAAAAATTAAAGCTATCAAGAAATTTCTTTCATAGAATTTTTTACATTATTGATATATCAAGTAACATTTGATGGTGGATTCAAAAATAGAAATAAAATATATATGTTGACGCGTTAGCTTTTTGGTAAACGGACTGTTTCCATGGTTACCGCATATGCCAACTGTCAAAATTACCACGCTTTCTTAAGAAATATCAGTGTTATACTAAACGTATTGTCAAATATACAACAAAAACATGTTGTGATAAAAATTTCTTTTTCTTTTGATGTTATATTAAGTAAATGATACTGAATATCTTTTTAAAACATATCTAGGGCCATATTACATGTATTATTTACATACCCGAACAGTAAGCAAGTATTCAGAAATTTACAAAGAAGATAATGAAATTCGGAACATTTTTTAGATATTAATTTTGTTTTTTTATTCAACACTTTTAAAATATATCATTTTAAACTTCTTTGCCCAGATGTCTGCCAGTAATCAAGTCGCGACGCACTTTCGTCACTATACCACAAGTGGGTGGGGTAACGCGCGCAGAATTATCATCAATGCTGTCGTACTAATGCTTGGAGAAATCCTTTATGTGATGTTGTCTAAACGACCTCTTATTCTTTTGAACCGATCTCCTTTTGAACCTTCTAGAAATATCTATTCTGTATTATTTACTCATTATTTGCTTATAGCCGAAATTTAAACACTTATCCGAATACTATTCAACTTGACCTTCATTTGAAGAGTAATTATCCGTGATTTTTGTTTGTATTTTATTGACTGGTTCCTGAATTTTATTGACTGCTCGCCAGAGCTTTGGAAACTGTACACCTGTATATGTTGACTGCTCACATGCATTTAGTTGACTGTACGCCTGTATTAAGTTAATTTCTTACCTTTATTTATTTGACCGCTCACCTGTTATAAGTGGACTGCTCACTTGTATTTTATTGAATGCTCACTCGAACTATTTGACTGCTCGCCTGTATTTAGCTGACTGCTCGCCCTTCTTTTTCATAATTGCTAACCTGTATTTGTTTTGACTTCACACCTGTATAATTGAATAATTGCTCATTTGTATTCATTTGGCCGGGCACATGTATTCATGCAGTTGAATGAACGCTAGTATTTATTTAACTGCTCGCCTGTATTCAGTTGACTGTTCATCTGTATTTATTTGACCGCTTAACGGTGTTTAAATGACTTCTCGCCTGTATATGTTGACTGCTCACCTATATATTTAGTTTGACTGCTCATCTGTATTTCATTTTCTGTTTAAATGTTTTGACCACTCAACTGTATTAAGTTGACTTCAACCTGTATTAATTGGTTGCTCATCTGTATTAAGGTGACTGTTCCCCTATATTTAGGTAATTGCTCATATATATTTATTTGACCGCTCAACTGTATTTAGCTGATAGCTTACGTGTATTTAGTTGAATTAGGTGATTACTTTCTGTATTTGTTTGACTGCTTAACTGTATTGAGGTGACATTTCACTTGTATTTAGTTGAATGCTCGCTTGTATTTATTTGACTGCTCACCTATATTAATTTAAATGCTCGCCTGAATAAGTTGACTGCGTGCCATAATTAAAGTAACTGTATATAGATGACCACATATCTGTATTTAGTTATAAGTATAAGACTCCGTGTCTGTATTTAATTAAATGCATTCCCAATTTTTAATTGACTAACAAATTCCGGCCAGCTCAATTAAGCATTGGAATGTTAATCGGTATAACCGGGTACGATTACTGAACGGTGCTGTCATTTTTGCTGTGATTGATAATAAAACAAGCAATTATCATAGTATTGCAAGCAATCCATAAGTCCCCTACCGGTAAGAGCCCAAGCAACATTCTGAAGGGCCATTGGCCATTCACTTAGGTTCCTATTTTAAGTAAATTTGTTGAAAAAGTTCTTTAAAAATGATCACAACAAATAGTTTTTATGTACAGACAGACAGACTGAAAGACACTCTAAAGTTATTTTTTAAACATCCCTGTTATGAAAATATAACATTTTTAAAATCCTATCATGATTGAAGAAGTTGGAGTAAAAATTACCAATTTCTCAAAAAAAAGTCTAAGTTCAAAAGGGGCATAATTCTGGAAATAGTCTTGCTAGAGTATTGAACACTCACAAATGTTGAGTGACAATAAGAAACATTTATATGAAGTTTGAAGTAGATACATTCAGAAAAAGAAGTTATTAAAAAAAACAATGTTTTTTTCATGAAAATTTTAAGTTCAAGGGAGGTAATTCTGATAAATTTTGTGCTAGAGTTGTAAACCTTGTCACATATGATGTGATGTGGTTGATGACAAGCAACTTATATTTAAAGTTTGAAGAAAATACCTTAAGAAATAAAGAACTTATAGTGAAAAAACTTAAAATCTAGAATCAGAAATCTTGAAATTCAGTCTATTTGTTGCCATAGCAACAAGAATTTTCAACATAGGAAGATAAAAAAGGATGTGCATTATTTCCATACTACCATCTACCCATATGTCAAGTTTCATAAACATATTTTCAGTACTTTTTGTGTTATCACTGGATCCAGGTTATGTGTAAAATTTGCCATATTTTCAGTCTATTTGTTGCCATAGCAACCAGAATTTTCAACATAGGAAGAAAAGAAAAAAACGTGCATAATCTCCATACTGCCATCTATCCATATATCAAGTTTCATAAAAATATTTTCAGTACTTTTTGCGTTATCGCGGGATCCAGGTTATGTGTAAAATTTGCCATATTTTCAGTCTATTTGTTGCCATAGCAACCAGAATTTTCAACATAGGAAGAAAAGAAAAAGACGTGCATAATCTCCATTCTGCCATCTATCCATATATCAAGTTTCATAAAAATATTTTCAGTACTTTTTGCGTTATCGCGGGATCCAGGTTATGTGTAAAATTTGCCATATTTTCAGTCTATTTGTTGCCATAGCAACCAGAATTTTCAACATAGGAAGAAAAGAAAAAGACGTGCATAATCTCCATACTGCCATCTATCCATATATCAAGTTTCATTAAAATATCTTCAGTACTTTTTGCGTTATCGCGGGATCCAGTTTTGTGGACGGACGGACTGACGGACGGACAGACGGACGGACTGACGGACGGACAGACGGACGGAGGGTAAACCTAAAGTCCCCTCCGGTAAACCGGTAGGGGACTAATAACCCTTTCTTAATACTGGTCGACAGCTTTACAGCCTGCCCAGGAACAATAAGTTGCCTGATTTTTATTCTGGTGGACTTACTGCCGTGATCCGTAGGGTAAACTTAATTATTTATCATTTAATGATTAACCTGTCCGTGCTCTGTCTTTGCCCTGTCCTGTTTTTGTTTGGGGTCCGCCTTGGCTCCTTGCCATTGGTTCTTGTTGCTTTGCGTTCATTGAACGCCGCCTTTCCTTGAACGCCGCCTTTCCTTGTTGATCTTGTTTATCATATTTTACCACCTCATATTAAGTTGACTGCACTTTTGTATTTTATTGTACAATTAACAACAAACATGTGGGCAAATGGACACATGCGCGTCCCGCGCGCAGGTCTGAAACAAGATTTTATGCCTCACGGACCGGCTTCTAAACACAGAATACATCTTTTAAGAACATGTAAATAAAATAAAAAAATGACCTGACTTTTTCATCACTCATCCAAAGTTCAGTCGGTGCATAATAGTATCACTATACACCTGCTTTCATCATGTTTTTTATCAATGCTTTAGATATCTTATGACTTACGATATTTTTCAATCACAGCTTTGATTAGTCATTTGAAATTCTGATTTGTACTTTGTAACAGAACCTAGTATTTATGTAATAATTTTTGCAAGCACTCAGAAAAAGTCAAGTTCTTGAGAGGTGGAAGTGAAATGACATTCAACATGATATAACCAACCTAATAGTACTTGATAAACATGATAAACATGTAGCATGCCCAAGACTCAAACTTGCCAATCAAACTCCGTTGATTAAACCACCCGACCTAAACAGACTTATGTGTCACCGGGCTTCAAAAATGCGATAGTTACAAACAAATATACTTAATACTATAACATGGACTTTAAATAATTGAATGTGCTTAAACATTTGTTTAAGGATGTAATGATTTTGAGCTCAGTTAATCCTCAATACATTGTAATTTTATTTCTATTGTGTTAGGAATGAATGGTCAGATCTCCTGCCATCCCTGTGGCTCCGGCAATGAAAATATCAGACATTTACACGAGACACTGATAAGGTCTGAATGTTACATGCAGACCATGAACCCACATGTTTATCTAAATATTTCATAATTGTTACATAAATAATGACAGGTCACTTAATGGCACTGCGCTTAGAAGCAAGAACACGTGACTGAAAGAGTATATAAGCTCTCATGATAAAGTTTTTCATCACTTCAAAATTCACTAACTAAGGCAACTAACGTCGACAAATATGAAAGTTCTTGCTGTTGTTTTTATGTGTATGGCTAGTGTTATCTGCCAACAGACGACAGTTGAAAGCCTGGTTGACGATGGACGATTTAAGACTCTTGTGAACTATGTCGTAAAAGCCAATCTTACCGGCACCTTGAACAGCGCCAATTTTACCATCTTTGCGCCAACTGACACTGCGTTCCAAAGTCTTGACCCGACTATCAAAGCTGCGCTCGATAGCGACAATGCACTTCTTACAGACGCTTTACTGTATCACGTCATTTCTGGAAGAGTACCTAGTTCAGCTGCATCGAACGAGGCCAAGTTAACCATGGCTAACGGCAAAGTTGCACGCGTCAACGTCTACACACACAATAATAAGGTAACCATCCAAGGCAGCGTTATTTCTCAGTTTGATTTACCAGCAAGCAACGGTATCATCCACGTTCTTGACAGCGTAATGTTGGCACCAACGGGCAACATTGTTGACTATGTCGCTGGTCATGCTGAATTTTCTACCCTCTTATCACTTGTTCAACAAGCAGGTATTGCTGATACACTGAAATTGGACGGTCTTACTGTTTTTGCACCAACAAACGCTGCCTTTTCCAAAGTTCCAGCGGCCACTCTAACTGATATACAGAACGACGCGTCAAAACTTATGTCGGTTCTGACATATCATGTTGTTAATGGCACTCAATATTCCGCAGGATTATGGCAGAAGGAAACAATCCCAACTTTGAACAGGAATGACGATCTCGTTGTTCATATGGTTCATCATCATGAAGACGTTAAGATAGATAACGGCCTCGTGACGACAGCCAATGTTGGGACAACAAACGGAGTAATTCACGTCGTTGACCACGTCCTTATTCCACACAAAGATCCAATAGTAGGATAATGCAACAACAATCAGAAGGAAACATTACGGATTTTTGGTAACTGACACGAATGTTTGGTATCGATTATTTTTGTAAAATAGCCTGTTTATTTATATATTTATTGTTGATACTGTAAATAAATTGTTGTATCTTAAAGACTTTTTTCTTCGTATTGCATTTCAGTCATAATAAATCAATGAAAAGTAGGTGTATCGAAAGGAAAATATAGAAAACATTCAAGTGTAGACTATTTCAAATATCTTCATAACGTTATCATCTTGTTTATTGATTACACGGTAATATCAGAGATGTACGGAATACACAAGTTATAATTACAAAAATAAATAACCGGAAGTAAAATTAGGTTAGTTAAGAGTTGATAAAACACCAGTGGTAACATTTCAATAAGGTATTGATTTGTTTAAATGAAAACTAAATTCCTGCCATCTGGAACAAAAAAATAAAACATTTTCTTTTAGAAATATTTGAATTAAAGGTTGACTAAACAAAAGATACATGATAAAATTTCATCTTTCTGATTGTTACCGAAATACCTGACAACACCGTATTTATAATTCGCATTATTACGTACGTACTTCTTATCGTCCTCCTAGATTAGGTTCGATCCCCGGGAGATGCTTTGGTAGTGTGTGTACATTCTTGCACTAGCAATAATGCAAGCAGGACCCGCGGTCGAGGGGCAAGAGTCGATGACTTCTAATCCAGTTACCTCTCTGGCGTGGGTTCGATCCCCGGGAGATACTTCGGTAGTTTAGCGCGGAGGAAGGTAGTCTAGTACTGGTGTTACTCTCTAGGAACGATGGTTAGGAAACTACCCGCTTATATGACTGAAATACTGTTGGAAAAAGGTGTAAAATGAAACAAACAAACAAGCAAGCAGGACATCCAAAGGCACAAGATACATTCTATTTTAGGGTAATTTGAGGCAAAAATGGTTCTTCGGGTATATATATTTTTACTAAATGAAACGTTTAAATGTATGTAAAAATGTGCCTTTTGTCCGAAATATTTAATAATTTATCGAGATAGGACATTAACCGGGCACGTGCCGTTCAATAGCGTCTGGTGTTCAAATACCGGATAATGTCCCTGTAGTATTGCAACATTAGCATTTTGACACGAAGGAATTGTCTATACTATGACATGATCAATCCAATCATAGAATGCAGAGTCCGTCAATATTCGTTGCTTCAAAACTCTACTATTGTTGATTAAAAATTCGTGCAACGTTTGCAAGGCGTTTTACAGGAATGTCTTCTTAAAAAATCTTTGATATGTATTATAAAATAAAGAAAATAAAAATACGATAAGTTAACAGGGTTTAAACATTTGTCCCAAGATACAAAGCGTAAGTTAAGTAAAGTAACTAAAATGTTTGAAAATTCTGGCTTGAATTTTAGTGAAATGCTCTTTTTGAAAAGAAAATATGCACCTATTTTTGTTTTAACGTAAAGTAGATACTTATTACTCGCATGCTTTCAATAAATGTAAATGTTTTATTTAAATCGCATGACGATTCATCTTCTTTCGCATATCTTTCGCATATGTGTCAATGTTTACTTTCTGAATTGCTTAGTCATATTATTGTTTATTATTTAATTTTCGAAATAGGTGTTGTTTCTTTGATGCATATGCTACAAGTTTGATTTGATTTATTAACATGGATAAGACTTTACGATTTAAATGTTGCGATTTTGTTATAAGTCACACAGAATTTTGACAACTTCATATTGAGAAGGCGGAAAAAACATTATCTTTTAGCAATTCTCAAGCACTAACGGCGACGTGAGTAGAGTTGATTTTAAAAAATAAGATCGACATATCCGATTTGAGTTCGATTCTAACACTTACAGCAGACAGGTTCAAGTGAGATAAGAAAAAGGCGATGATCTTATCCAAACCTTTGACCAGTCTATTATTTTGATATTAAATTATACAGTTGCTTAAAATCACAATGCATCAGACACAGGTAACTTCTTCTTTAAAATAAAACAAAAAAACATAAGTTTCATAACATTCAAATAATGGTTTTAGAGTATGGTATACGCTTTCACCTGAAAAAGGAAGTGTAGAATTTGAAATGACATATGATTGTCATAAAAGTAGCAACATATAAACAAAATTATAGTTTTTAGACATACAAACAAAACACCCAATACATCTGTAACTACAAAGTTTTAATGTTTAATTTACTTATTACCAAAAGAAAAACAGAACAAAAAGCGTTTTACTTTTTCAAACTTTAACACGACTCAAAAAACTGTATAGAAATAAGCTTGTTGGTCAGAATGATGGACCTTAACATATCGTTTTTTGTTTTGCTTTGTGTTAGACTCTCTGGAAATCATTAAGATCTGTACATTTGAAGTATTGTGTGTTAAACATAAAATCTTTTAATTATTGATATTGACAGGGGCTTTTTATTATTACGTCAGTAACCTGGCTTATATGTATATGTTAGTGTTCATCCGAGCTGTTCGACTTCGACGGGAGCGATAGCGACAGGAGAATGTTTCGAATTTCTGTAGAACAGCTAAGGATGAATACTAACATACTTAGTTTCAAGCTGTATTTGGCCTCATTATTATTTACTTTATAATGTCACTTTGCGGTTTTATGAAGTACTATGAAAAATAGAAGTCGACTATGAACGAAATTTGATATAGTATCGGTTTTTGTTCTTCCATAGAATTTTAAAGAAATACAGCGTTTTCATTGGATGATAAATAAAGCTGGACACTAAAGTTAAGAACAGTCTATTTTGATAATAAGCTTGATGATCTTCCTTTTAAAATCAGTTACTTGTTTTGATTTGCTTGACTGGTTTATTGTGTTCATCCGCGGTTGTTATGTATAAATAAGTCGTTCAACTAGTTTTTGGTACAGTTTGTATGACACGTTTTTCATGGAATGTTTAATTTTGATATTAATTTTGGCCGTCTTTACTTTGGCTATTTTGAAAAGAATATAATATCTATGTAGTGACTTCGCTTTTCTAGGATATTTTATGTTTTTCTGAGGAGTTTCCTAGTGGGGAAAAACTTTTAATGTTCTGTATTTGCTTTTTCTTTTTACTTTGAATACAGAGCTTAATGTGTAAGTAACATTAGTTTCTGTTTTAAATGTAGAGTACAGTGAGTTAGCCAATAGCGGATCATAGCCAATAACGGGTCAATTAGTAATTTAATAAATTATTTTACTTAATGTTTTGAACTTAAAAGTGTTATAACCTAACAGTCATGTGCATTTGGATGTTAGCTACTCGAAAGCGAAAAAAAAATGTAAACATCCGGATAATTCTAACCAGATTCATTCAGATGCTTTACCAAGCGTTTCCGTTTGTCGCGAAATATTGCGCCAGTAACAACACAAATTCGCAGTCGCTGCTTTATTGCCGAAAACCCCCAAAAGATATTAGATCAAAGCTGGTAGGTATTTGATGCCCAATATGTTAACTATCTACAGCAGCAGCCGTTTAAAAAATGCATGAGGAATTATAGTGATAGCGCTGGTCAATTAAATTGCATCACGTTGCCCAATAGCGGGTCATGTAATTTTCCAGGAAGGGACCGCCTCAAAGTTATTCAACAGGTTTTAGAAAATATTTTTAAAGCAAATTTTGGTTTGTATACAAATAAATATAAAATTTAATTTATTTATGTTATTATTGCAAGTGAATTATGCAGTCCATGCTAAAATAATTATGGTGTTTTATGTAGACGTATAAACTGCTGCAACATTGAAATAGTTCTTGACTAGATTCTAAAATATTATTTTTAACTGTACAGTAACTTCTTTATTTTTAAGTTATCCATTTTAAACTTCAAATACATGTTTTTTATCATCACCCACAGGATGTGTGACAAAATTTATTACTTTAGCACTCACTTAAAGTATCTTCCCCATTGCCTCTAGTTTTTATTTCTTTGATTACTCCCCACCCCCTCCCCCCCGGTCTCCTGTCCCCTTCCCCTTTGTGGGCCTATTTTTATTTTCTTTGAATTCCTAATCAGTTAATCAAATTAATTATCATTTAATGATTAACCTGTCCGTGCTCTGTCTTTGCCCTGTCCTGTTTTTGTTTGGGGTCCCCCTGGGCTCCTTGCCATTGGTTCTTGTTGCTGGGTCATGTGGGGGTTGCGTTCATTGAACGCCGCCTTTCCATGTTGATCTTGTTTATCATATTTTTACAGAATTATTTCCCAATTGAACTAAGAATTTTGTTTAAAATTTAATAAAAAAAAAATTTTTATTATTAATATTATTACTTCTTCATTTCTTGTGGTATCTACTTTTATCTTCAAATGTTTGTTACTTATTATCACACACATCACATGTGATAGATTTATCACTCTAGAATGAATATTTTGTAATCACCCCCCCTCCCGGACTTTTGGTTATTGTTCTTTGTCATTACTCACATCATGACATGACAAGCTCATTTGTTTACTTGTTTTATTGTTTCAGATTCTAATGCCTAAGGGAAAGAGAAAAAGTGTTCAATGTAGTCCAGCCCAGAATGCAGCCTCCTCAGTGGTAAAAAAGTACAGAGGGAAGCGAATGAGTCCTGGGAAAGTGCAGAGAGTGAGATGAGCCCTATACATTGTAAGTAACAAGAGTATGTCACTAAGAAAAGCTGCATGTGAGTATGGACTGTCGTACGGGTTTTTGCAAAGGAGATACAGTGGGGAAACAGACATCAACACTATGAAAGGTCTTAGAGGTTTTAGACTTTGTTCAAGGCATATTCGAAAAGAGAAGCGTAAAACCCCATTTCTTGATGGGAGACCTGGTTACAGCTGGTATCAAGGATTTAGAAATCGGAATGCACACATAATTGGAAAATTAAACGAGACTTACCTTGGTTAAGTCGATGTTTGATTGAAATTCTATGAGTCAAATGAACACTTGAGGGATTAAATGAGATAGTACTGCGCATGCGCCAATTCAGTCTTTAAAGCATTTTGGCATTATTGCCTAAAAATTTTAAGAAATCTGCGATTTCTATACTGAAGTCATAAATGAACACAAATTTCATACATAATGGGATGGGTGTGGAGGGCATTTAATCCCTCAAGTGTTCATTTGACTCATAGAATTTCAATCAAACATCGACTTAACCAAGGTAAGTCTCGTTTAATTTTCCAATTCTATTTCGTCAAAACACTTTCGGTCTAAATGAGAAGTTTAAAGCGCAATAATGACAAAATATAACAGACCTTATTTCAAAACTCCTTCTTCAAAGGAAACAGTTTTCTGTCACCTCCCTGTCATAGAATCTCGAAAATGTTTTACAGTTTGACCATTCCTGCTTTTTCAAAATAGCAGACACAGGAACGCATTAAGTTTTGCCTTTGATGAAAGATTCGCCTCGCACACTATGTGCAGAAAACATGTCTGTGTTAACACCCGATCTAAACATTACTGTTTTTATCCACCTTGATACAGTGTCACGTGATACTGGTCCGTATGGTTTCACATAACTTAGAAGCAGTTTATTAGTTTTACAACGAACAGGTTTGGTTCTTGACAAGTATTCTTTCAACACGGTATAGACACAAAGCCTCCTATCTGGAGGATATGCTTTAAGAACAAAAGTTGAAAAATTCAGCTCCCGGCCGACTCTGTTTTAATAACGCATCAATTTTAAAAACAAACTGTGAAACTGAACTTTTTCATGTTATTAACTGATAACAAATGTATAGTCTGAGCTCTAGCTTGCATTCGTAATTGCCTATAAGCATGACAAGTTTCATAGTAAAAGATCTTTCAAAGACAAATGTTTCACTGGACTTAACTTGCGTAGAAATAGTAATACAGTGTTAATATCCCAAGTACTAATGTACTTCGACCGTGTTGGTCGTATATTAAAAACTCCCTTCATAAATCTTATAACATCTGGATGTGATCCAAAACACGATGGTTATCTATGACAAGTCCTAAAGCTGATAAAGCGCCTCGTGCTGTATTTAATGCACTATATCCCAAACCCGTTTGAAACAAAACTGTGAAAAAACTCGATAACATCCACTATAGTAACTGAAATTGAACTAATGTGTCGTTCACAACAATACTGTAGCCATCTTGATATATACGTTTGATATTGTCTTTTAGTACCAGTTTCCATGAAGACATGATAATTTTGGTTGCTTCTGAAGAAAAGCCACGGTTTCTGAAGCCTTTCCTGACACAAGACAAGCTATTAAAACCATTTTCCCCAATAATGGATGTACCTTTTCCCCTTTTGGGAGTGATAGAAGATTGTTCTGTGATGGAAGAATCAACGGTTCCTGTATTAACAATTTCATCAGCGTTGTAAACCATGTCTGTGTTGGCCACAGTGGAGCAATTACTTTGCAACTTGCCATATCTATGGTAATCTTTTGAATACAGCGTCCCAGTAAACTGAAAGGTGGGAAAATATAACAACATGAAAAACTACTCCAATCTAATGTAAATGCATCTACATACTTGGCTCCTGGATCAGGCTTCCAGGAGCAAAAATCTGATATTTTAGCATTCAATCGTGAAGCAAAAAGATCAATATCTGGAAATTTGGTTCTCGTGCAAATTTTTGTAAATATTGTATCATCTAGCTCCCACTCTAAATGATCTTGAACTTTCGCGATGGAGCATCAGCTTGGTTATTTGTACCAGCTATATGGGCACATGACAACCAAATATCATGATCAATACATAAATTCCAGATTTGCCTACTCACAAAATCACAATCTTCTGACTTACTTCCCCCCATATTGTTTATGTAACATACTGCTGTTGAGCTATCTGACAAGATTTTTATATGTTTGCCAGAAATTTTCTCTATGCTTGCTTTTAAACTATGCAACACAGCCATTAATTCTAACTTATTAATATGCCATTTTGATTCTTCTAATGTCCAACGACCCCCACTTTTAACGGTTTCTAAACAAAACCCCATCCTTGCAGACTTGCGTCTGTTTGTATTATTAATTCTGGATTTCCATGACTAATATGCCTGACTTGATGTCTTATATTTGAAAACCACCAATGTAGTTCAATTTTCATACTCTCAGAAATAGTCATTTCTGAATCAAAATCACCCTTGTTAACCTTCAATGCGATAGTTTTGGCTTTTTCTAAATTTCGATAGTGCATTCTACCGTATTCTACAGCAGAAAATGTTGACACAATAATACCTATAACTTAAGCAACATTACGAATTTTAACCTTTTCAGCTTGATAAAGCTTTTTACATTCTATCTCTACTGTAAGCATTTTTTCTTGTGTTAAATAAACAAGCATTTTTTTCAGAATCTATCACATTTCCCAAGAAAACAATTTCTTAGATGGCTGGAACACTGATTTTATCATATTTAACATGAAACCTAAACTGAAAAACATGTTCCTTGTGACATCAAAGATTTTCTAATACATTCTTCTTTAGTTTCCCCGCAAAGGAGACTATCGTCTATAAATCCAGAATTAATATAACCTAACCCTCTCAACTTTGAGTAAAACGGGCTTTAACAGCTTTGTAAATAACCTTGGACAAGGTGCCAAACCATTTGGAAACACCTGATACTCGTATATTTCTGAATTAAATGAAAACCTAAAATATTTCAGCTGTTCTTGAGCAAGAGGTACACTGTTATATGCATGGAGTAAATCCAATGATGCCATAAACATATCTTTTCTTATCAGTTGTAATGTTTTTTCAAAAGTGTCCATTTTAAATGATAATATGGTATGAACGTATTCAATTTTTTCAAATTTAGAATCATTCTATAGTCACCATTTTTCTTTTTTCTAAGAAATATTGGGGATAAAAATTGCCCCGTCTCGTGGTTCACTTTTTTGATAACACCTAGTTCTAACAAGTTATCTATTTCTTTTAATATTATATGTGATTCTTCAAAGTTAAAAGAATATTGTGGACAGTGTTCTTGTTTATATTCATAAAATTCTGGTTTAAATTGGATATGACAATGTTGAACCATATCCAAAACAGTGTTATCACTTGTCAATTTACTCCATTCATTTACAAAGTACCTCAATCTGCCTGCTTTAAAAATATTAAATTTTACCTTATCTACATGCGTGCCTTCCCCACTCCCCGACGGGAGTAGTTTTTTGGATCATATGAACCAGCAGGTTGTGGAGCCCGGAACATTCCACGGCCACTCCTCTAGGGTAAGTGCTACGACCCCTAAAAGTCCCTCTGTAGGGCAATCTGTAACTTGGTCGTCCTCTCAATCCCCCACGGTGGATTTTACTACTGATTTTTGCACAGTCCTCTATCTCCTTTGCTGTTTTGGATACGTCGTCTCCAAACAACTCTTGTGTAAAGGGCAATGAATGTGTACACAAATGTGCAAATTCTGTTTTTATTTCCGGCTTCATCAAATCTCTACGTAACAAATTTATTTGTCTATTAGAGTGACCCAAAAGAGCCAAAACATCATTACAATTTTCAATTAACTCACCATATTTCTCATGTTCACGTTCCAAAATTGCCATTTTGTTCACCGATTTCACCAAAATAGTGGCAGCTTTGATTACAGAAGTCTCGACATTCTGTAATTTTTTATCATTTGTCCTAGCACCTTGTGATATGGCATCCCATATCAAATGATTTGTTTTTACAACAACTAGACTGTCACAGTTTTCAGGTCTAGCATTTTGTTCATCTTTAACAAGTTCTGAATAACGTTCATCTTCAATTCCATTCCTGAATAATTCATTAACGTTCTCGGACAATGTTTCATCAACACTCTTATCGCAGTGTTCTTGCATTTTAAACCTCTTCGCCATGGAAGAGAAACGACTGTCAGTGTTTTTGCGTTTTGTCACATTCGCGTTTTCGTCTACGCGATTTTCAACCGGAAGTTCATCTTCCGAAGGCTCAGGCACGTAAGAACATTCGTCCTCGTACTCAAAACTTTGTTCAAAATAGTCCATTCTGTTGCTAACACTAGTCAACTTTTTATCTTGTTCGTTCATGGACTCTTGAATTTGTTGCAACAACGTCAACATTTTATCATTAGTATTCGCGACCACGTCAGAATTTTCCTTTTCCCCGGATTTACCGGGTTGCGCCGGTGATTTTCCTTTTGACGAATTTGCTTATTTATTTGCCTTTCCAGGCCTTTCCGAACTACGTTCGGACCTGTCTCTTGTTTTTTCCCCTTTCCCAGAGGGAAATTCTTCCGGCAATTTCTTACTTGATTCCGCCATTATTTTATGTTGAACACCACGTGTTACAACGAAAAATCCTATTTTTACACAAAATACACAATGATATAAATATCGAACGTCGTCCGATAATCAATTGATGAATATTACTCAAAATATATCCGATATTAAACAACAAAACTCGATAAATCTTATTGTAAACCGCGTTTACAAATTATTGATATGAATTAGCGTGTCGTCTTTACGACGGCATGCAGCACACTGAATTGGCGCATGCGCAGTACTATCTCATTTAGACCGAAAGTGTTTTGACGAAATAGAATTGGTTTACGCTCAGAAACACCTCTTGAACTGAAGCGTTCAAAACTTTCAAAAGAGACACTTGATGAATGGTACACAAATTATAAGGATTTCCTGATCAGTAAAGGTTGTCTGGAAAAACCAGGTTGTATGTGGAATCCGGATTAAACTGGCTTCAACATGGGTGCAAACAAGGGCAAAGTTATAGGTCCATCCCGTAAGGATATTCCTGTGCCTGAAATAAGTGCTGGAAAGCAACGTCTAACTGTGATGTACTGTGGCAATGCTTCAGGACAAATGATGCCACCATTTTTTGTTTTTCCTGAGCCCAAGCCTAGAGCATATGACCCATTAAATGGAGCTCCAGAAGGAAGTTATATTGCCTATACGAAGAAAGGCTGGATGGACGGCACAACATTTTCAAAGTTCATTGATCACTTCGATAAGTTTGCTGGTGTTGAGCGACCTGTTGTGTTACTTTTAGACAGTGTTGGAAGTCACATTAGCCAAGAAGTGTTTGTGAAAGCAAAGGAAAAGGACATTGAGCTGTATCGCATTGTCCCCAATGCGACACATTTGATGCAACCCTTGGATAAAGGTGTATTCGGTCCTTTGAAAACCAAATGGAACTTAGTTGCTAGAAAATTTGCACGTGAAAACCCTGGAAGATGCATTGGGAAAGAGATATTTTGCCAGAAGTTAACAGAGGCTTTTTTGAACTTTTACAAACCTCTGACTGTTATCAATGCCTTCAAAGCTTCAGGAATTTATCCAGTGGATAGCGCAGTTATTTCAAGTGAATGTCTGAAACCCGGGCTGACATTCTGCAATGATAAGTCGAAAAAGTCTAGTACAGTCAAAGAAGTTAAAGTAGAGGAATATCCTGAACAAGTCATGGCAAAGGGAGCACTTGAAGTATTTCAAGAAACGTCATCTACTCTTGTTCGTGAAAGATATCAATCACGGTTGTCTGAAGGCTATGCAATTGAAGGCCAGTCCCCCTGTTTTGACATTTATAAAAAGTTATATCAGAAAGCAAATCCAGTTAGTACTGCTGTGTCATCTGATAGAATGATTAAAAAAAGTGGATTGGATTTATTAGCAGATGTGTCATTTCAGTCATACAATGATTCCCGAGATGCTGATAATAATATGCAATCAACTGATGAACAGACCAATTCAGTTCAGATCTCACCAGCACTAAGAGAGGCTTTAGTTTATCCTAAGGCACCAGAAAGTTTGAAGCCTGTTAGAAAAACATTACTTAACAGCTTGCCAGATAATCTTTCTTCACCAGAGAGCATTCGTGCAATGTCCCTGAAGCAAATTCAAACAGTGGTGAAATTTGCAGAAAAGGAACACAAAGCAAAACTGGCATACATGAAAAAAAGAGTAAAACAAATCTATGTGAGAATGCCTTAAAGAAAGGAAAGTCTAAGATTAATGTAAGCAAAGGAAAGGCACCAGGGAAAAAGAGTAAAACAAATAATGTTAATAAAGCAGAACTGAGAACAGACTTTTGTAAGGGGTGTATGGCTACTCGGGAAGAAGATATGTCATATGGATTTGATAAACTGTGGTTGCAGTGTGATGGCTGTGATGGGTGGTTGCATGCAGAAAGTGTTTCAAGACCTGTTGATAAAGACGCAGACTTCTTTTGCCCAGATTGTCAATAAATGTAAATTAAAATTTTATTAGCCCATAAAAAATAAATAAATGCTTTAATGCTGTGCTGGTATTTATTCTTTTTTCTTAACTTATACTCATTAAGATTACTTTTTTATATAAATAAAGCTATTGTTAAATATAATTTTCCTTTATTAAAGAAATATTTTTTATTTTTCAGGAAACTTCAGAACAATCCATGGTCCTTAAAAAGTCAGTTATCAAAGGGTATCACGCTTTTCAAATAAGACCATCATCAACTACACCCCCAACACGTCTAACTGTAGAGCCTGAATATACAAATATCCATGATACTGATGCCTGCTTGGTGTGGTTGCCGCCACTTGAGTCATTCCAAACATTGTTACATGATAGTGTCACTGACCAAAAACGCCAGCTACGGTTGCGAGATGTAGCAGGACTTCCAATTTGCCATGTTCTACGAGGGATAGCTGGTTTTTTTCGTACCATTATGGACAAAGGACATATCGAAGCTGAAGTTACCGGTGAGCCCACTCAGAGTTTCCCACCATGGCCGGCTCCAAGTTCTGAAGGTGGTGGGGTTGTGTTGCCATGCAACTATATTATATTTCACCCAGATATTGAGAGTAATTTTCAAAAACTTTCTGTAATGTTAGATAAAATCCCAGAAGGCCCTGCTATGACACTGAACAAGGAATAAACATGTGTAAATTTTCAACTCTGTAAAAGCCAATTAAGCCTAACAATGCTATCATTATTTTTTTTCCAAGTCTTGTTATTTTAAGGCTATCACTTTATTTTTTCAAAGCTTAGTTATTTTTAATGTCCATTTTGCACATTCCAAAAGTTACTTATTGGTCATATTTCTGAACCATTTTTAGTTTCCTTTTTGCTTAGGTTTAGTACAGTAAAAGTTAATTAGTATTTTGTATTAATTTACTTGCTTTATCACAATGATTTTATATTCAAAGGTATTTTATCAGATGATAAGCATCTCATATGATATAAATCCATATTACAACATATTTAAACTCATTTTTGCACTTTCGACAGAATTATTAATCTTTCATACACATAATGTGCCTGTTAGTGACTGAAAATTCATAATCTTTTTAACCAAGCAAGTATTGTTTAATGATCTAGTCAATATTGTTTTACATCATTACATGTATTTTTTTAGGTTTGACATTGAACCAAGTCAATTTTGTTTAATGATATTAAGTCAATATTGTTTTACATAATTAAATGTTTTGTTTTTTTAGGTTTGACGTTGAACCAAAAAATAGATAAATATAGAATCCCTAAAGAAAGCCCAACACGGCAGAATTGAAAATGTTGCAGGCTCGGTTTGATTGAGCCTGTTCATGAACGGTACTGGAAAGTGCAAGTTACCGTCCACGCCCCCTAGCACCGGCTTAAGCAGAATTCAACATTTAAACGTGAAATAGTAAAATTTTGAATTTAGAAACATCCGCAGATGTGTTCATACGGCGGTTATCATGGAACCTTCAAGTCGTCAGTATTGTTTAATGATCGAGTCAATTTTGTTTTACATAATTACATGGGTTTTTCTTTAGGTTTGACTTTGAACCAAATCAGTATTGTTTAATGATCTAGTCAATATTGTTTAACATTATTCACATGTGTTTTTTTAGGTTTGACGTTGAACCAAGTCAGTATTGTTAAATGATGTAGTCAATATTGTTTTACATCATTACATGTATTTTGTTATAATTTTGTTTGTTTATATCACAGAGTGCACTCAATAAGAGAAAATCAGTTGAAAATTTTGTTTGTTATTCTTAGAAAGTGTATCTTCATAATGACCACATAGAAGAACATGCAAATTTCTTGAGACTGCATTTAAAGCTTTTGATTCACAACAAGAGACTTGTGTTACAGTTCATTTAATGGAATTTTACATAGAATGTGCACAAAATTGCTTCGATGAGCTGCTTTGTCCCCTGTAACCCTGAAAATGAAAATAAATATGTTATCTACACAATTTACAATTCATTGAGCAGATATCTAGATCAGCATAATTATAATCATTATTGTTTTTACCACAATCATGCAGCTGTCACTTGGATTCTTTACTTATTGGTACCCTTTTCACTTTAATACTCAGCGGTAACACATAGTTGTGTAATATTTTCCTGGTTAAGGGAAGAATTTGACAGATAATTAATGTTTTGAGAAAACCCCCCGTTCGTATATCACGTGACCCGCTAATGGCCGATTTGACCCGCTATTGGCATGTTTATAAAGGGTTTGGAAACGGTAAATACACCACGATGCATTCAAAATATGAATTCACAAGAAGTATACAGTAAAAGGGGAATAAAAATACTTCTTATCATCATACATTTATATATGAATCTAAAAATCGTTCGTTCATAAACACTAGAAATTTCGATAGTGACCCGTTATTGGCCAACTCACTGTACTAGGGTTAGAAAAGTTATAGACTACAAAATAATGGATTCGGGTTTGAGTCCCGTCAGTGTTACTACGACTAAGCACAGTTTGATAAGTTTGACGGAAGATTCGAGTCCTGAGGGGTCTTCGAAAATTTCGGGCAGTAAAGGTACGGTAGTCACAGTTCAGGACAAGATTAGTACGACCAGTACGATTAAGACCAATGGGAAACATATTCCTTGGAAAAAAGGCTTTGTTCCGGTCCCACAGTTTGAGTTTAAGGTTCCACAGTTAAATTGAGTTTACCTGTCGGAGCCTCCGATAAATGAGACGAGGTAAAAACTACTGCTTCATCGGCTAAGCTTCTCAGCGATGCAGATAAGAAAAAGAAACTGATGGCTCGTCTTGCAGAATTGGACGAGGAACAGAAGATATAGCCTTCCGTGGGATTAAAATAGCTCGTCTCTAAGCTAGGATACAGAATGCTCTTTTTTTAAATTCAAAAACCGTTCACAATTATTCATTGTTGGCACTTATGACATTAATTCTAGGGAGAATTATTCAGTTGATGACATTATTAGCTATTACTTTGATTAGGAGTATTAATCCTCACACTCATATTGTCTTTTCATCCATTTTGCCTCGCCCATGTGATTATTTGGATACAAATGCTAAAGTTAAACAAGTCAATAAGTTGTTAGAAGGTCAATGTAATGAGAGGAATTGTCAATTCATTCATTTTCAGGCCTTTTTTCAAGTTTGGTTAACCAGTTTGTTCCCTTTTTGCCGTTAAGGACAAAGGTTTTCATTTGAATTAAGAAGGCACACGTTTATTACGTCGTTTTTTCATTAATACTGTATCTCATTTGATTAAAGGTAAAGTGGTTTTGTAAGATGTTGTTTGCTCAGCATGTAGCACTGTATGTAATATATGTATATAATTATGTATTATACAGATTGTACAGATTATTATTACATACTTCAATGCAAACAAAGTACATCAGTAAAACATTGTCTAATTTGCAAATTATGTAGGTGCTCTATCTTTAGTTCACATCTGGCAAATTATTTGATAATGGTATAAGGCATTTGATCATGTTTGTAATAAAAGTAAAAGTTTTAACCATTCTGAAAAAACACCAATTTGAAGTTGTTACTGGTGTAAGAACTTTGTTACATTGGCACAAAAATTTAAAATTACTAGGTCATGATTTACTCAGGAGACAGATTTCCAGATCTCAGAGTGTCATAAGCATCATTTCTGCCCCTTTAGCTACAACAAAAATGGATGCAAGTCAGTAATTGTTGGAAAATTGACGTCTCAGTTTTGCAATCTAGCACTTTGATCAGGAAACGGGAATGATAAAGAATAATAGCTTAAGAGGGCAGAACAACATTAATATACTAGCATACAAGATCATACACACACCACTTAATAATAATGAAACCTGAACCTTACAATACGAAAGACCGGTTGGGGCATTTCAACTTCACGAATTCCCGATTTCAGCTTCATGAATTCTCGATTTCTACTTCAAGAATTCACGATTTCAACTTCATGAATTCTCGATTTCAACTTCACGAATTCACGATTTCAACTTCATGGAAATCGTGAATTCGTTAAGTTGAAATCGTGAATTCACGAAGTTGAATTCGTGAAGTTGAAATCGTGAATTCATGAAGCTTAATCATGAATTCGTGAATTCCATATTTTGAAAACGGGAATTCACGAAGTTTAAATTGTGAATTCATGAAGATGAAATCGGGAATTCATGAAGTTGAAATGGCCCTACCGGACTTTGTTATTACAATAAAAAAATGACTTTCCTACATTAAATGTCTGTTGGCATATATCAATCACTCAAGCCATTGTCGATGATTGAAATGTTTGGTCTACGTTTTGTTCAATCGGCTTTTGATGTTAGTTTGGTCTGGCACTGACCTTAAATTGTAGTTTGAGGGTCTAGAAGTCAGTACCAATCCTTATTTTGCTAGGAATATGTTAGAGGCTACCCACCACGTGTCCTGCTTTGGATTATCTTAGCAGGGGAATATCTAGATATAAAATATAAGAAAGTTTAATTCACTTTTCGAGCTTTTATTCAATTTGTTCACACATATATTTAATTTTAGGCAGACTGAAAAAGGAATCTTTTAAGGGGTTCTCTCACTGCCTATTGGTTTAACTAAGTTGACCAATCATAAACATAATTTCTGGAGAGGCGGAACTAAAGGGTATGGCTTCAGTCTGATGATACTTGTGAAATAACTTGCATATTCACTTTCATGTAATTTGATTGTCTATATTTTTAAAATAAGTTCATTACAGATATTAATAAAACAAACATTTTGCTTTTTTGTCTGGTGTAACAGTTTTTAAACACCTTTGCTACTATGTAGCAACATATTACCTGTTTGTGACATTCAAATTGACAACATAAATGTACTACAGATTTTACAAAGAAAAAGGGTATAATGTGGTTTTAATATTTATCAATTTATACCTAATTTTGAAATGGAAAATACAAAATAAAGATTTAAAATAAAATTCAACTCACTAATTTTATTGTGAATATATAACAAGAAAATAGTCCCTCGACCCCTAATGAAGGTCGGGAGTACCCCCGACTTCACGATGAGTCATACACGTATCAATCTCAATATTATATAATTTTGTATGTTGATGTAAAAAAAAAACATACATGTAATTTGAAATTAAAGCATTTTTCCACCACACGATTCTTAAGAGACTAAAGGGAGTAAATATCATTTCTATTGGAAGTGTAAAACATGTACGTATGATGCACTTGTGGCTCGAAGCTTTTTTTATGATGTGTCACACAATATAATTATGTATTACATTATAATGAAAGAAGAGAATGGGGAAAAAACATTCTACATGTATATGACACCTCTTTGACTCTGGATGGTATTATAGTTTATTATTATTTTGAAGATTGTTATAATTGTTATAAACATTAAATTTCCTTGTGTTTTAATGTGAGGTAAGATTATATTGTGATAATTATTCAATAAGAAGCTGTTATATTGACAGGAGTTTGATAAGAAGACCATCTTTACGGAAGCTTCCTGGTACCATTTAACATGTTCTATAAAAAAGATAACTCCTACGTAGGAGATAAAAAAGGCCTAATTAGGAGATAATAACTGCTACGTAGGACTTTATAAATCCTACGTAGGACTTTTAAACTCCTACGTATACGTAGGACTATATAAGTCCTACGTAGGAGATGAAAACGCCTTATTAGGAATTTATAACTC